ATGTTTCAGTGATTTTCATTAGAACTGGTCCAGTGGGTTCATGGGATGTTTTGATAAGAGCCATAATAATGGGCGAAGAACTAGAATTCAATTAAATTCAGTTTATTTATATAGCGCCAAATCACAACAAAATTGTCTCAGGGCACTTAACAGGAACATTCACATACATAGAAGTCAAACATGAGAAAATGATTGTAAAGTACTGAACTGAAGACCAGACAGCACTGCTGAAGGCTTTCTTTAGACTAACAGAATCCTTCTTGGATAGAATATCACAACTGCAACTCCATTTAGCATTTCAAACGGCTAATGTCATTACAGCTCCATCCACCGTTCAAAGCTGGAGAATTCCTTCATTTGCTTTTAGGAAGCTTTTATTTTCTATTTAGAGCTTTGATTTTCTCTCTCTCTCTCTTTTTAATCACCTAAAAACACATAGATTAGATGAAAACACAATGTTAGGATGAAAATCTGATAAATCCAAATATGCACAGATTATATGATTACAATGTTTAATTTCTCTCCTTTTTGGGTTCTTTCTGTGGAATTTATTTTTTACCCCCAGCCCCACCTCATGTATAATTTATAATTTTTTTTTTTTTTTTTTTTTTTTAAAAAGTAAATAATAATCAATAAAAAAAATCTGTCTATTATCATCCGCTGCCAAAAGGCAAAAGAGTGTTGGCAAAATATTTAACAAACCACTACATGGGTTTTGATGACCTTCTCAGTCTGAATCAAGACACGGCAACTAAGCAGCTTTACCAAGCACAAAAATGGCTGTAGCTCGGCTAATTTTACAGCTATGCAGCTAAAACTTGGTGTGGTAGTAGCTGAGAGTCATTCTCTACACAGCTCACTATGTTATGAACTCACTCGCCAACCATTTATGAAAAAACTAAAAGGCATTTCATCAATTCTATGAACGCAGGCTCCAATGAAGCACTGGTTGCAGTAACTGTTGGTCCAGAAGTCGTCGTCATGGAGAATCTCCCCTCCTCTCATCAGCACCGTCTCAAGAACACAAACGCACCGCTTCTCTCCTGCAGTGATTTACTAACTCCTGTCAGCCGGGGATCAATGCTCTAAATGTTTTTTTCTCATCTCCTGATTTCATGTATCACTGTGTTTACATTAGGAATAAGGACGTGGATGCTCTCCTGAGGAACTTTCATCCCCGTGTGTTGTTCATCACTCTGCCGAGCCGTCAGCAAATGAACCTACCTGGTGAACACGCCTCTAACGTTTTATTCATGTGGTGCCGTTTTGAGTTTGTCTCAAAAACAGTTTTCTTTTTTCCACATGCGTGCTAATACGAATTATTTCTGGACCTTACTTTGGAGGACCTATAACTTAATAGCAGAATAAATCAGTCAGGATTAACCAGAACAATGTAAAGGCAGCCAAGTGGAGCAGATGGGTCTCAGTGCAGTGTGTGTGTGTGTGTGTGTGTGTGTGTGTGTGTGTGTGTGTGTGTGT